CCGCGTAAATTTGACATCTTAATGCCCATTTCCACCGATGTAGATTAACTTTAATCTCGGTTCAACTTGTTTTTCGTCTTTTTCGGATTCTCCGAACTAGAAAAAGGACAAAGAGTGAGTCGAAACGAGATTAGTCGGGATTGTCATAAAAATGGAAATCAAGGAGATCAGGGAAATGTCAGAGAAATTGAAAACCGTCAAGGAAATCAAAGGAAAGTCAGGAATTTTGCAAAATTTTCTGGAAATTAGAAATTCTCGATTTTAAAGAAATTTCATACGCGTACATCACCTACGTAATTTTGAAATATTAACTCAACAATTAAATGCAAGCAGTATTAGCAGTATTAACATTAATAGTAATTTATGTTGCTATTTTAATTGATGTTTCAACAAACTATATTTAACGGTTTCCAAATCAAAAATACAAAAAATTTCAAATTATTATTGAAACTCAGGAAAAATCATACAATTTTATCTGTAAAAATTATGGAATTTTAGAGGAATTTGACCAAAATTAATTTACATTGTTAACCTACATTAATGAAAACTGGCATAAATGATGCACTTTCCTTATGTTAGAATATTTATATGTCACGATTATTCACAACGAAATGGGAATTTCGTATAGAAAGGAAAGAAAATGAATGTGAGATATATTGTATCTCAAAGACCTGTATCTCTTTACATGTGACTTTATATCCAAAACCTGTCGAATGCTAATCTTCGGTTGCCTATCTTCCTCTACTATCGTGAGATGAGCGCGTAGAATCCTGAGAAATATTAGCATAAACATGATATTTCAGTTCTAATGATTATTAGAGTCGTTTCTGATGCTTAGCGCGCACCCTCGTCTACGAATAGGAGATGATTCAGCTGCCTTTAGAGCGTCTCGGCCGACAGAGCAAAAGAACAATGCAGCACGATCGGCGCAGAGGATTGTCGCGCGTGTGCAACACGCAAAGCAGGTTTGCACGCGTGTTTAACGAGCGTCTGCATCGCACGTGATGCCCGAGCTGCTGTCTATGAATAAACGTGCGCGAACCTGCAGATCATTCAACACCGATCACCTGGATTTCACGAACGTGGAATGCGAAATATCGATACGGTCAACAATTCGCACGAGATCGACTGACGTGCGTTTAAGAAATGAAACACTTGACCATATTAGTCCTTGACCATATTAGTAATATTTTTACTAAGATTTAATATACTTCTGCAGGTATTAATATTTTATACAATCGATCGTTTTCTTAATTTGGCGAAACGATCATTTTTTAATCGGTCATAATTTAAAACTTCTTGCTATCCCGCGTGCTAAGAAACTTAATATATCTCCGTAGGAATTAATACTTCAATTGATCGTCCGCAGCTTCAGATATCTTAATTCGGCGAATTGATTAATTTTTAGTCCCTTATGACTGAAAACTTCTCGATAGCCTAGCTTGATAGATATGTTAAGAATTAATATACCTCCATAGGAATTAATACTTCAATCGCTTGCGTCTGCAGTTTCAGAATCTTCATCTTAATTCGGTGGTATGATTAATTCTTAATCGCTTGTAACGTGAAACTTCTTGGGGTTCCTGCCAAAGAATATTACCGTCCAATGTCTCTATGATTTGAAGCGGCGATTTAAATGCGGGGCTTTTAAACAATCTGTACATGTATATGAATACTTAAGTAAGTAAGTATCCTATGTAATAATTTTTCCCGACAAAGAGTCTTTGATGTCCGATACCTTTGTTCGTTGTTAACTGCTAAGTATTCTTGCCAGCTAACAATAACGACTTTGATGTCCTCCCTGCAGAATTCGCGGAACATCGTGCGTCTTAAAAGAGTTTGAACCTATTTACCACTGTTGTTCGTCTCTAGTAGACGGTCTGTTAATGGAAAAACCTATTTTAAACAGAGACAGAATACACAAACGACAGAAATTTCTTCCGCTCCGATATTTCCCACTCGAATTCTTCTCGCTCAGTTGAGTCTGTCATTTAAATTACTTCTCAGTTATTTGCTCTTTAGCTATTTTTAATATCAATTCTTTCCCCACGTTGCAATTAATCATTTCTGTCGAAACGAAGAGAAGATAACTTTATAAGAAAACTGTTTAGCTGATCTTTTCTTCCGTTCAGAAAACATTTTCTAAAATAATCAATCGTAATAATAACTTAATCGCAATTTTTACCAATCAAATTTTTAGCGAACATTAATTTTCCCGGTGCCATCGTTTCTTCTCATTACGATGATAATTATCTCGATTAGAGATCCTCAAATGAGAAATTGAAACACCATGCTTGATTCGCCATATTTTTCAGGACCTGCTTGAGACGGAATGAGATCGATTGTACATAAGATAGAATAATATCCACGCATCACATTTTCTCTTATGCATCTATCTCGTTCTATCTTAAGGAAATTTTGAAAAGTACGGTGAATTAATCAGAAGTTACCTGAATAGTGTCCAATCTTTTAAGGATCTTTAGCTTCGACCTTTTATATCCGCGGCTTCCTTAACGTTCCTACGAACGAAATAGACACGAAGATCCGTAAATTTCGACCGGTATCGATGCCTATCTCTCAGGAAAAAAATTTGACACGGTCCACTTTAATTTTACGAACTCTGCGCGATGGCTTAGTGGGGGGTACAAGAGACGTATATCGATAATTTATTCCTTCGGCTGCAGTAGCGATTTTTCTAACGTGTCAGCGACACTTTTACCGTTATATTTTATATGTCCGCCCGCATGCACGACCGCGTCGTTGCAGCTGCTCTTGATGCGCGCTACGTCTCCTCGTCAAACACGGGAAGGTAATAATAATAATATACGTCGTGTTGGCGCGCGAGAATCGATATACAAGATGCATACATACATAAATAATCTCTCTCTCTCTCTCTCTCCGTTCGGCCGCGAACGTGGCCGACTCGGCACATGAGCGATACTTCCGATGTCGCGTCGAGAAAAAAAAATCAAACGCCATCGTTCGCCTGCGCGGCGTGACGAACGTACATTGGTTACGCAAAATGTACGTAGATCATATATTAATGATATTACATAATGATATGGAGGTACAACTTGATGGTATATTTTGTAGAAATTCAGAGGGAAAAATTCGCACGCAAAGGGAATGAGGAAGAAGCTACTTGAATTATTTCATAATTATCCGAGCGCACACATGGGAGAGACGTACGTTTTCCGTCCGTTTAGTCATATTACGACGAGGATAAAGGGGATTTTAAAACGGATAGCTTTAATTTCTCGGACGCAGTTGCGCCACGGGAGATGTACAGGAAGGATAGGAGACAGGAGCGGTCGATATCCAGCGGCAAGGCTGTCGCTTGGCCTGCGAGAGGTCCACGCTTATCTATTATGTTCTGGATACGGCCATTGCGAACAATAACCCACCGTACTGCGGTGAGATTCGAATTTGTCGTCCAAGTGCGCCGCATTGTAGCACTGGCGCGAAACAGCCAGTGTAATCTCGGCATACTTTATTAACTGGGCCAACGTAATTTGCGCAACAGCGAAAGAGAAGCAGAGTTTCTTACTCCGAAAATAGTTTTAATGTATCGCTATTCGTAATTACAATGCTGCGAAAAATGTTCCGATTGTATCAACGAGAGAGATGCGAACAAAATGCATTCTGATTACATTCCGAGCAGAACTCTAGTTATTGTAATTGAAGTTCTGGCTATCTCTCGACTAGAATGTTTGATGGGTTTAATTATATAACTCATTTTACACAATATGCGGTTACCTAAAAATTATAAAGGTTATCATGAAATGGATAAAGTGTAGTTCGTACTTGATTTCCGCACTGAAGAGGACTCAAATTTACAGTTGAAACGTTTTTAATTAACTTTGTTGGTAAGTAGTGTAAGTACATTCCAATTGTTTGCGAATTATATTTTATCGCCTTATATATTATTAATGCATTAACAACCGCGGAGGCTTAATTATACAATTTACTTTTATATATTTCATTTATTCTTAGAGCCACAAAATTATGTTTATTTTAATTTGAATGAATTTTAATTAATTTCTCGGTAATCTTTAATCTTTGGACAACTATACTTATATTGTGAAAACGGGCTGTATAATTAAATCTACCAAACATTCTAGTCGAGAGACAATCAGACATTTAAACAAGAGCTAGAGTTATGAAATTGAATCATACGTTATGAAAATAGATCTAAATGTTCAATTTGTACCTTTATAGATTTTTTCGAGCGACTGCATCCATAAATATAATATTTTTATAACTAAAAAAATCTGTTTTTGGGAGGAAAATGATTGAGGTTACTTGAATTTGCATCTTGCGGTTAAATTTCACTTTAATATTTGTCTCGCATCTTTGACGTGCGCGAGATCAACACGATGTATCCACTAACCGACTTTGTTTGAAGTTTACAGCGACGAGTGCTCTTCTTCAGCGACGCTCTCGCGACTAAAAACTTTTCCTCGCCTTAGAATGAATACAACGATGCGAATCGGGGCGTGTCTCGCTAGTGCGAAAAAAACCGGCTTATCTTCTGAGTAAACGTTTGAATTTGAAAATTTTTTGTTATAGTATTGGAGATATGACGCTAAGTAATTTAATTAAGTTCAGCATTAATTAGTAAGCATATGATTACTGCCGGATGGATGCGACTATTTTTTGGATTCTTCTTATATTACTTTATTTTTAGTTCGCCAAGTACTTAGACACTGTTATTAAACACTTATTATATATCTGAATTGTTTAGACCGTTGCTATAGTGCGCTTGTAAACTGGGTATAAGAATTTCGTAAAGGCTGGATGAGTTTGTTCCGATAACCTCCCCTCATTATATATTTCTCGTAAAAAGAAACCACTCGTTATTCGCATTTCCGACAGTTTTAACTTAAGCGCCGGATAGAACATGTCACTATTTTAGTATCCCACATAAAAGTCATATCTCATCGTTACGACGTTTTATATCCTCTCCCATTTCTCCTGAAAAACAGATCCAAATTACTTACGTAATATCTGTGATTCAGTGACATCTCTTCTTCGTATCTTCGTCAGGGAACTATCCTCGCCTAGGAATTAGCGTGTCACGGAGAGATCTTCACAGAGTCGCGATTGGTGGGACTGCTCGCGATTTCCATACCTCTCCTCTTCGTTCGCTAGCTAGTCGATATTCGAAGTGTCCCAGGTGTTCTCGAAGTGCTCTGTCTTCGCAGAAAGGTACACGGAGCGAAGTTTCTCGGGAAACGAGCGTTTCCTCCACGCGGGAACAACAGAGGATATTTCGCGCCCGCAATCGATACGTCGCTGTCTCCTTCCCACATGAGCAGTGTTATCCTTTCCTTGGGGGCGCGATATCAGTCTTACATATTTATTGTCTGGATTCCACACTTATCTCTAGCGTCGTCATTATTGTCGTTTTTGCTTGCGATTGTTTCCCATACATCTGGGTCATACGTCGTCGTCGTCGTCGTCGTCGTCGTCGAGCTATCTCGTTTCTTCTCGGTTCTCTCGTATCTACGTGGCACAGATTTTATTTCGTCGTCCGAAAGGCTGTCCTGCGAAAAGGACCCCAGAGTGTTGAAGAACATTGCGCTTTAAACATCTCGAAGTCGGCACGGAATCGCGCGACCGCATTTTTTCGTTTCTAGTCTATGCAGCAGCGAATCGTTTTAACTGCAAAAGCCACGCTTTTATTTAATATTTACTGTTCCTCCAAGTCGAGTTAAATTCACGAGATGCTTGGTGATTCGCTCGCGCTGGAAAATATTACAAATAATAAAAATTTTAATGCGGACTCGGAGGCAGAAATGTTACGTATACATTTTGAAGTGAAAGGAATATCTCTCCCTCTCTCTCTCGCGCGCGCGCGCGAATAAAACATATTAAATTATATACGACGATAGAGACAGAAAAATTATATTCGATGCTTATACTTTGACAATATAGTTTTATTTAAAACTTCTCTTATAAAAAATTTCCGTAAAAATAAACTTGTAATTTTATTTCAATCGCAACGCCAGTTGTCATTATTTTCATAATTATTGGCGTTTGAAATAGTTACAATAAGTTTACGATATCAAACAAATGTAGATATGTGTCTTTGTTAATAAAAAGAGTTGCAAGCAATGGAAAAGGCAATGCAAAAAAAACTTGAAAAAAAAAAAAACTGAATACATTACAAAGATATCGTTTAAAGATTATTTATCAATTTATTTTGTTATACATTTTTTTTTTTTTATGAAATAAACGAAAACATAAAAGACAAGAAATTTCTCACATATATTTTAAGATATATGTTTCGATTGTATCGTTGTCAAAAGCACTTCTACGCGAACACGGTTCGCATTTCTAACATCTTTTCTCGGTCGTCCACGACCCGTGTCTTATCGTATCGGGTCGGCTAATAGTGCACAAGTATAAATATAGTGTGCATGCAAAACGTCACTGGTCGGGGCTTTTAACTCCGCCTGTAAAAGCGTCGCAGTCCATTAGCAGTGGCCGTCGACGATGCGACGTCACTTCGCGCGACGCGATGCAAAAATCCAACGCGCTTCTCCGCGCCCGCGGTCGAGGAATGCACGGTCCGGCTGTTATTATCCGTGCTGTCCGTAACGAAACGGAAATAAAATCGGACGCGACACGGAGAGTATGCCTTATGGCCCGTTCCAGGCGTTTTAAAAAAATACAGCGCCCGTCGGCATGCAAAGCGTGACACGATTCCTCGAAATACTCCGCCGGCGTGATCACGCGCTTTTTATCAGCTGGTCCATTTTACATAACGGAAAGCTATCTTTGATGGCAGAAAATGAGGTTTGTTCGACATAACAATTTCTTGTTCTTATCTCTTATTATTATTTTATTGTCGATACTATACGAATTTTTATACAAGAGACGAGTAATCGATATCGCACTTGGAAAAGTGTTTTTGTACTATGAACTAAAATTCTGCTGTAACAACAAAAATTTAGTTGGAATATGCCGAAATTTTTAATTAAAATGTATCGAATAAAATTGTAATTTTACGCGAACTAAATTGTTCAGTTGATATGAAGAAATATTTTTGTTATTTATAAAGGAAATGTATTTTTCATAGGCAATTATATTTTCTTATTACGTAAACAAGATGTTTCATCACTATTACAAATTGCCTCGACTGAAGTAAATAGTTTTGCTGAAAAGCACGCTAAATTTTTTTTCTACCGCGACTAAATTAAATCGCTGCTGAAGACTAATAGAAATGTTTATCCAATAATTTATCGGCAGGCTCGTGGTCTTGAGGGCAATCTTGTGAAATATTTTTCGCAATCCGGCACGATGGAATTCTGCCGGTTAGAGAGATCGGCGGCGTCAAAGATAGATACGCAACTCGCGTATCGTGCTGACTATTGTTCCTCTCGTTCCAAGACTAGAAGTGATGCTGCTGCCGTTGCCAATATCGGGACTGTCGACGCAATATCGGGTCACGAAGTCCAGCCTCATGTCCCTGGCAGCAGCCAGCCGATAACTCACGCGACGCACTGGCGACGACCATTAATTCGATTGAATTTACCCGTAATTACCGTCGGATTAACTGGCGATTTTGATTCACGGGGTCGCCGTTCCCGTACGCTAAAATAAAACGTTTGACAAAGGATTTCGTCGAACGATTTGTTTCCGCCTTTTGATCTTATCTCTTACTTTATCACGTTATTTTTTTATTTCTTACCCGTGTGAGATCATTCCCGTTTTATGCTTTTATTAAATGATTACATCACGATAGTGATAATTTTACTTAGTTTCAACCTTCCAGTATACAATGAAAAAAGCGAAATGGCAATAACGATTCATGAAACTGTATAATTTTGTTATGTACTTCACCGCGCATATGTAACGCGCGAAATTTTATTCGAACACGAGTGACTTGTCGAGGAAGAGTAAGATTTGTATTAAACAATTAAACGACTGAGGACGCATATAAGGCCGATTGCAGGTACGAACTTTGATCGATCATCTAATGATCGGTTCATTGGTCCCGTTTTTGGAATACGATTTAATCTTAAAACCGACAGTGTTGATAGCAAGAGTTGGCATGTCGAATTTTTTATAATTGCATTTTTTTCACACCGAATAAAAACTTGTCAATTTTAATAAATAATTTAATACCGCCAACTAAACATTTCCTTCTTATAGCAAACAAATTTCTACTCAGTAAAGAAAATGATTGTTAAATCAAACTAATAGTTCTTGTATACCAAATAAACACATCTTTATATTTAATCAATATATTAGGTGGCACTGTATTTAACTAAATATTTATTAAAATTCAAAAATTTTCACCTGCCCCCCTCGTATCGCACGCAACAGCGCCGAGTAACTCTCTTCATTAATCAGTATTTTACAGCCACGTAATATATGAATAATTATCTTTTAACGGTTTAAAGCTAAATACACGCTACCTTTCAATCGGTTATCAGCGATTCCATTTCATTTGTCCAGTATTGCAGACTTATGATGACGCATTGTTTATGCAGTATTTTTACAAAATTGGCTGCAAGTCGTACTTTTGCATCGGGGTACATTGTTCGCGTTGGGAGGAAATCGGCCGATTTTATCGCGAACGATTTATTTCCGATCTCCATAAAGCGTAATCGGTGCAGCGTGTCTATCTAACGCGACTGGCGATCGATCGAATTACGCAGAACACGTGACGCCGGCAGAAACGTTGTATTTTCCGCAATGCCCGCGGCGAAATTCCACCGGTCCACGTCGGTCGTTAATTTAAAAAACATACATCATCTCTCTTGCTCTCTTTCTCTCAACAACTGCTGATACGCAATCCTCGTTCAATCCACGTACGTTCCAACGTAACCATCATGTAATGCCTAAGTGCATAACCGTCATACATCTCCTAGGATTAAATTATTGTTTACGGTTATTGTGATCCACCGTCCAACTAAGGTTCAGTCCTGTATTAGATATTTATTCTCTCTCGACGATAAACGTCGCGAATTGCGGCCGCGATATGCCACGGTAGTTGGGGGGGGGGGGAGAAAAATGAGGGAGACGCGTAAGAAAGAGGGACGAACAGACGGACCGGAGTAATACTCGTACGTTCCGACTCGTTTGTAGGATTTGTGACGCTACTGAGAGGATATAAAAAGGAGGATGCAAAAGATAGAGAGAGGAAAGAAGCGGGGAGATATCTCTTATACTCTTCTCTTTACACTCTATGGCAGGTTTCTACAAAGCGTTTCTCTCTTTCTCTCCTCCTTCTCGCTCGCGG